TGGAAAATTGCATCAACAGCTACTTCTGGACAATAATCATAAGCATGGACTCTTACTTTCCTTTTTCAGTTCGTTTAAAAAAACAATGCTTCCTTCCTTCTAGGCAACTCTTTAATTCCAATTTTCCAAATGACATATTTAACACCACAAGATTAAAGAACATTTTGGTACATTCTAATATCTTTAGTTTAAGACCACAAAATTTAAAAGTCTTCCATACTTTCTTAAACTTCATATCAAGTCAATACTATACAAACAAATTGAAACCGAAGGAGTAATAACATAGCTTACGAAAGGCAGACAGCAAATTCAGAAACCTTATGCCAGATATCACATATTTGAAGTCCCAGAATAGCAGAACCTATATGAGCACTCAAAACAATTCGAACATTGAATTTCCACAAAAGTTATTTGACATAAAATAATTGGAAGCAATGATATCACCAAAATCTTCACTTTATCCGTAAGTGCATGCAGTAAGGAAGATCATAAAAAAATCTCTTCAATCCGTAATTAGTTGCAGGCAGCTATATGAATCCTTAGCTCCTGTTTTTGAAGTTGAAACTTGAAAATTTGAATTTTCGAAGTTGTGATTTTGAAAATTGAAGTTATATTTGAACATGCATATTACTTGAATTTTTATAAGTATATAAGTGGAAGTCCCAAAACTAGAAAATATATGAAGATCACATTTTCACGGTCAGATATTTAAAGATAATTTTTTTAATAGCTACTCCCAAAATCTCTGGTCAAACACTAGCTTAAACTTTTTCAGACAATTTTTAATTGAGGTCCCCTATGTGAATGAACTACATATATTTTCCTCCATTAGACTATTTCGAGTCTCCGGTCAACTTAACATCCCCTCCTTTATCCAAGCTGAAATTAATGGAGCTAACGGAAAATAATGTAACAGTTGATAGAAGAAAAACAAAGGAGAGAAGGATGCTGCAAGAAACCTGAAATCTGCAAATATAGTAATCATCCCCGAGGACAGCACGCATAGATTCAATAGGCTTTCTCTTGGGGTTCCTGGGGTGGAAGACAACGCTCATATTAACCAGTGCTTTGATCCTATCAGGTCGCAAAAGGCATACATGCCAAGCTATAACAGCACCCCAATCATGTCCAACAAGGAACACCTAATTCAAAGAGGCAAATAAAATATTTATATAAAAAATGCATGTGCAACCACTGTTTGGAACTCCAACTATGCACTAATCATTATACAATCAGGTCAAGTATTAACATAATTACGGGCAAATTACAAAGAGAGTGGAAGATAAAAAAGGAGACAAGGTCCTAACTGAAAATAACAGAAACTACCAATCCATCTATCATGCCAGTCAAGTCGGTGCGAATCGTTCAACATAATGTCTTCTTAGACTTTGATCTTGATGGAAATATCATAACTATTCTACTTGGTAGGAGCGCCTATGTGACTCCTGAAGGCTATAACATAGAGTTGGAGGCTTAAATCTGGAACATCTAGAAAAGCCACCCCGCTAGAAGCCCCTGCTTATACCCTAACTTTAATAATTTATCATTATCATCTTTTTTCTCTCTCTAATGTATCTAGTTCCTTCCTGTACAATCATTTCTACAACGCCACAAAACACTCACTTTAGGTGGCAAATAGACAGAATCATATTTGAAGATGAATTATATCCAGGGTATTTGACGCTCAAGCAAATGTGAAAGCAGAATCTGTGAAAAAGTTTGTGTTCATCAAAGAAATGGAATAAGCATTTTTTTTCAGAGTGATAAGCAATAATAAACATCAATTAATAACCTAGAAAAAATGCTGGCTAACCTACTATAAAAGGTTAACTTCCTATTACATAAAAAAGTTAAAACAAAAAATACAAAATCATCCATACAGTACATCCATTAATTGATGTGTCCTCCATATATAATTAGTTGACTTGTGCACCACAGTATGTAAATCCTAGATCGTCCTGTAATTACTCGAACTATACTATACACTTAGATATACAGAACTCTACTAAAGGGGAACCTTATTTTTAGACATGGTACATAAATATGACATTTAACTTGGTCTCAAGTGATGTCTATGTCCTCCAACTTTGGAATCACAGGAGTAAACACTTAAACTTGTATAAAATTGAACGAACACACATACATATACATGTTCTATGTTCCATGTGACAGGATACATGTAGGACGTCATGTAGAATGAAGTGTACTACATTTAAATACATGTTCAAAAAATCACAACATCAAAAACTCAAACTTCAAGTTTCTATTGCTTAACGAGAACTAAGTAGTACACTAACTTTCACTAAATCCTATATTTCCCTGTAATTACTCAAATATACATATCACTAACTTCGTAAACTCACTATCAAATATATTAGAAATTTAAACTCTAGATTCGCCTCAAACCTGATCGAGACCCAGAGCATCTAGAAGGGCAATAAGGTCACCAACAATATGAAAAACGGTATAGCTAGAAGGAGAAGGGGGAGAATCTGTATCGCCATAACCACGTAGATCTGGTGCTATTGCGCGGTAACCTTTGGATGAAAGTGAAATCAGTTGGTGACGCCATGAATACCAGAGTTCAGGGAAACCATGAAGGAATAGTATTGTTGATGGGCCTTCACCAATTTCAGCTATGTGCATATTTATGCCGTTTACAGTGAGATTTTTGTGCTGTATATTCTCCATGGCTGGTTCTGTGTATTGCGCTTTCTTTTTGTTTTGTGGTAGAGATGATCAACAAAAAGATATATACTAGTAATTGCCTTTTTTGAATTGTTCAACAAAATGATGTTTCTTATGAGCACTTTATTTTTTATTTCTCGCTAGTTGATTAGTCGTTTTGCTTGTATTGAAAATTGACTAATTTAGATTAGTATAAAATATAATACAATTAGATAGTTTGAGTGGTTCGAATTTGACTAAGGGTAGATGGTTTTGAGTGACTAGGACTTGGCTAAGCCATTTATTGTCATTTACATAATAAATTTAATCAAGTACGATGATTCCTCGAATTATTATGTTACATAAGTATTACATAAATATCATATGTCATAAAGTTCATGCGAAGGGTTTACATAAAGAAGAAGAAAAAAAGAAAATAGCTCTTACTTAAATATTCTTGAGATATGTGGAGTATTTTCTTTGAAGACGTTAATATTTCATGGATTACATGAAAAGTTCTTTTGTAAATATGTAGGCACTTGAATGATGATTATTATTTATATATTATCTCCTAAGTTATTAGTATTTTGTAATATAATCAAACAAGACAAATCTTCCAAATCTTGAGTAATACAAAAACTTCTTTAAATAATTCTTTTGTGTCTTTCTTCATTCCTCAACGATTTGTTATTAAAATCTTAACTTAAGCTTAAAAGATCCTAAAAAATTCATGAGCAAGTTATCAAGTGTTGCACGATATATTAAGAGCATGGCTAATGAGAGAGACATCAATGTTGCTAGGACTACTAACGCCGAGTAGGATGGTGGAATGAAACTCAAAAAAGGGAGAAAGAATCTTATAAATAATGAGAAATTGTAACACGCCCCTACACCAAGTGAAGTGCTAATATCCCACTCACTTCCGATTACTGAGCCGAGTGATGATGCACATGAGAAAAAATTCGTAAACATTACACTTGGAATGAAATGGATTAAGAGGGTTGATACAACAAGACAAACTATAAAGATTTTATGCAGACGCTTGAATAGGGTTAATGACAGATTTAAGACACTTGAAGACTTTACCCTTGAGAAAAATGACAATAACCGCAAAAAGTTGAAGACACGTAAGCATGCAAATTACGAGATGAAGGAAACAATCACCTCGTGGAGTGTTGGCTCATGTATGCATTAAACACAATTGAAACCTCGAAGGCCGAGATGAAAGTGCTTAAGGAAGGAATTGAAGCTAGAAGATCTACATCGTCCAATGGAGATAGGAGGGCCAAGGTTGAGGCTCCCAAGCCACCAATGTTCAATGGTGCTCGTGATGCGTAAGATTTGGATAATTTCCTTTGACATAGGGAGAACTAATTCAAGTCCAATGGAGTAAAAAGAGAGGAGAACAAGATCAACGCTATCATGTTATACCTCTCAGAGATGGTATACTATCATAAAAGCAAAAAGAATCCAAAACAAGAAAGGAGTTTTGCATCATCAACACATAGGAACAATTTCAAACAAGTCAAAAAATCTTTCTATTTCAATAACATTATTTACGAAGCGAAACACAGATTTAGAAAGTTAGAAGCACACATGCAATATATAAGCATATATGAAAGAGTTCACTTTCATATTTCCAACCACACATGTAGGGGTGGGCATTCGGTATTTCGGTTCGGTTCGGTTCGGTTTTTTTTTTTCGGTTTTTTCGGTTTTTGTAAATTGCGTACCGAATATCGAACCGAAATATTTCGGTTCGGTTCGGTTTTTGTTAATTCGGTTCGGTTTTTTATTTCGGTTTTTTAATGGGCCTGTTTAGTGGGCTTTTTAAACTTAACAATTTTTTCAATTTTTTGTTTGATTTTTCAACTTAATGGGCTTTGATATTTCAACTTAGGGTTTCTTATTTTTTAAAAAAAGATTATTTAATATTAATAATTATTAAATATAATATAATTTATAAATTATAATTTAATATTTCGGTTTAAACCGAAATACCGAATTCCAAAGTAACATGTACCGAAAACCAAACCGAAATGCCGAAAATACAAAAAATTAAACCGAATACCAAACCGAAAACCGAAATACCGAAACCAAAATTCTGAAAAATTTCAATTCGATTCAGTGTTTCGGTTTTCCGGTTTTTATGCCCACCCCTACACATGTGAAAATATATTACCACAGTTTACGATAAATGAAGCCCACATGAGTCCGAAGCTTTGACAAACTTTAACTTGTTTGTCTTTTTTCATATTTTAGTCATTCTTTTACTGTATATTTCATTAAACACTACATAATCACAAAAATATCAGCTTCTGTCATTACAACTGTAGCAGTCCATGGAGAAGCAACAGAGAGCAAACGACGGCAAATCGACGGACCGGAAAATTCTGTCGGAGGTCGGGGAACATGGCGTAGCTATTATCACTATCAATCGTCCACCTCTCAATCTGCTTTCTGTTGACGGTACTTCTTTTTCTTCAAACAATACTTCCAATCACTTTAATTTTTAATCTGCTTACCTTCTAATTCATCAATTCACGTCGATGCTGGCAGCGGCGTATCAGAATTTTGAGCCAATCAGTGCAAAATAGTACTTTTTTTTGGGGAATTATTTGAGGCGTATAGATAAACAAATGCTCAAATTTGTCCGAAAAAGCAGAATTGAACACTCCCATGTTAAGTACACACATCTGCACACTTCAACTCATCTTCATAGTGTCAGTTGAACTCTACAACTTGCAAAATGATCATCTAAAACATCTTCAAAATTTTTATGTGTTACTTAAGTTTCAGGAGACTAGTTGGGGTGTGTAGTTGCCAAATGAGACTATTTAAGGTGTCTAGATGTGCACTCTCGAAGTTGGAGTGCTTACATGTTAGCTGAGGCTGATTTTGAGTGTTTGTTTATGTTTTGTGTCATTATTTAATTGTATATGTGTAGTTCAAGCGGAAAGTAGTGGGCACACTGCAAGTTCATTGCATCCGCAGATTTTTCTTTTCATATTTGTAGAAGATTTGAAGCTGCTTTGGAGTAGAAGTGGACTCCTTTTGCATTAATTAGCTTTACTCAGTGACTGAATTGGAACGAGCATTCATTAGTTGAATTGTAAGATGTAAATAAATGAACTTCAACTGTTCATATTTATCATCAATTCTCAATGGAGCAGAATAAACATAGATGATTTATGTGGTTAAGGGGAACTATTTTGGGATTGAGTCGTAGTTGAGTGATCAAGTGCTGCTCCTTTGTTTAGCGTTGACAAATTTACTTGTGGAATGCTCTCTAGTGCTTTCCTTATTAGTTGCTATGTCTTCTTCATTGTCTTTTCCTTCTCATAACTACTTTGATGTGCTGCACTTGAGCCGAGGGTTATTTTGAAACAACCTCTCTACCTTCATGAAGTAGGGGTAAGGTCTGCATATACTCTACTCTTCCTGGACGCCACTTGTGGGATTACATAGGGTATGTTGTTGTTGGCAAATTTACTTGTGAAAAATGATGTTGCCGTGGTTTTTTAGATTATTCATATGCTGTATTTTGTTATTCTTAGTGGTATTGAGCTTGAAAGAGAAGATTGAGGAAGCTATACGTAAAGATAGTGTGAAGGCAATTGTCATTACTGGTATGTTTAAGGCTTTTCTCATTTTTTTGAGATCAGCTTGTTCTAATGGTTGAAAATTAATATACTTGTAATGTATCAGGTTCAAGAGGAAACTTCTCAGCAGGATTTGTTGTAACAGCTTTTGGTGGAAGTCAACAGAGAAAGAGTAAGAAAGATCATCATCTGATTAGTTGTTTCTCTCCAGAGTGCTCGGTTATGAGTTTCGTCTCATTTGAAGCCCTGTTTTTATGCAGCACATAGAGAACTTGGCTTTATGTCAATTGACTTTATCACTGACACATTGGAAGGTATTCCCTCACTACTAAAACATCTCTACTTTCCCATTGAAATTTCCAAAAATGTTCGGGGGCTATTCCCACAAATATTTTTTGATTTTATATGTGAGAAAAGAAAAAATAGTAATATTTTCATACAGAAAAAATAGGAAGTTTCCCATTATTACAGTGAGAATATGTTTCCCACCATGCATTTTCCTGTGAGCTTGTTCAGTGGAGAATGAGTGGGAAAATCATTTTCTATTAGCACAAACTTCCCACTAATTCGCGGTGGGAAAAACCTCTGTTACTAGTAGTCCCCAGAGTATATGTCTTATGATAACCTTTATTCTGTTTTATTCATGAACTTGTGGTTCCGTAGTAATCCACATTTCTTTTGCATCTCAGCTTCAAGGAAACCCATTGTTGCTGCTGTTGAAGGTTTTTGTTTGGGAGGGGGATTTGAAATTGCACTAGTGAGTGTGTTATAGTTTATTTTAAGCTAATGTATGCTTTTTTTTGTGTTCTTCTATTCTGTTCTGCTCTGTCTTTTCTGCAGAAACAACAGAATTGGTTGGCCACTGGTGTATCTCTAGACTCAGATTTTAGGCTCTTAATTTTGTTAAATTTAGCATGTGACTGACTAGGCGACTTATTTATTAGAAATAATGTGGATAAAATATTGATAGAAATAAACAACTTTTGAGGTGTAATGAGTTCCCTCAATTGTACTAACTATGATTGAATCTGACCGAATGTTCTAATGCATTTGTTAGGCTTGTCATGCTCGCATATCAACATCTACCTCAAAATTAGGTCTTCCCGAACTTCAGTATGGGATTCTTCCTGGGTTTGGAGGTAACATAAGGAGAAGATTTCTGTTTTTTTTTAATTAACTTATTTACTTTTCCATTATGACTTGGTGTCATTCAAAGGTTATTGTGCAAATCTTATGTCCAGTTCATTCTTAAAAAAAACTGAGATATCTTGTATTGTTGTTCTCATGTTTGTGATTGCATATTACTGTGTTAAGTCAGTTATTACCCAATCATTTTGGAAATTAGTTAACATTATTTAGGTAATGCCATCTTTTTGAGTATTTAGTTTCAAATGTTGCATTTCGTACTTCATATGAACAAGAAACTGTAAAACTTTTGGTTGACATGTATATGACAGACATTATTGTTTAAAGTCTTCTCATGCCGAATGAATCTGAGAAGGATGAGATCTCTCTGCATCGAGATGGTATTTACTGGCTACACATGATGCATTGTATGGGAGTTCATATCCCTTGTCAAAATAATGATTGTTGCTCTTAACTTAATAAAAAAATTCCCAAAATTTTGTACACTTTACTGCAAAAAAAGAAGTAAGATATTAATACGATATCACACACACTTGGTATTTAAACAGTAAGCATGATCCAAGATGCAGAATCCGTAAAAGAATACTCAAACCTCTGTTTCCTGGCAAAAGATAGTTGGGTAACCTTAAACCATGTCTAAATGCTTAGAGACATCATGGACCAATTTTAAAATATTGGAACACTCTAATCATGTGAAACAAATTGCGCAGTCTATTTTCTGGACACTGCCTTATTTTGCCTTCTCTCTGGCACAGAAAATATTTATGTGAACTACAACTGTCTTTTTCTGTTATTGCGTTCTTTTAAAAAGAATCTTTCATGTGAAATATGCGTTGTATACTGTAGACCATATTGAAACTTGTGTTGCTAAGGCAGAATGATGATACTTTTGCCAACAGTTATACGTGATTATTATTCTAAAGTTTAATTTATCTCAGGAACACAACGGCTTCCTCGGCTGGTTGGCCTTCCAAAGGCTCTTGAAATGATTCTGGTACCTTATTTGGATTCCTCTTTTTATTTTTGGTCTTAGGGTGACTTTTTCACGCTTAACATATCTAGTAATACAATATATGGTTGAGTTGCCTCAACATCTTTACGTCTTTCCTTGTAACAGAGTCTCTGTCATGGGTTGTCATAGTGCTAAAAATTGGGTAAATTGAGCAGAATAACAAGTTACCTTGACTTCTTTGCCTTTTCTATCATTTCTTTGTCAGTGTGAAAAGTAGCAAGAGAACAGATAGGATTTAACATATCCATGCTTAAAATAGCAGTGTGACTATAGTGAAGTGAGGTACCAGACAGTCGACACTTTTCATAAGCAAGCAGATCTCACCTAACCAATATTAGCCATCACTTCCCTCAGATGAATGCTAGTTATCATTTTGAGCTTTCTTTTCCTGATTTTTCTAAGTAGGTTCCCTTATAAATGTTTCCAGACGTCAAAGCGGATAAGTGGAGACGAAGCTTGCAATATGTGCCTAGTGGATGCTATATCTCCATCAGATCAGTTGCTTGGATCAGCTTGTCAATGGGCTTTGGATATATTAGAATGTCAAAGACCATGGTCTATCAGTCTTTTCAGAACCGATAGATTAGCACCTCTGGCAGAAGCTAGGACATTGCTCAATTCTGTCAGAGCTCAGATTCAGAAACAAAATCCAAATGTTATCCATCCCTTGGTTTGTATTGATGTCATTGAACATGGTATTCTTTGTGGCCCTCGTAATGGACTATGGAAGGTGATATACTCTTTGTGATCTCTCTTTGCTATGGTTGGCTAAATGGAATTAACAATGACTTGTCTTATATTGACAGGAAGCTGAAGCTTTACATGAACTTCGACAATCTGATAGTTGCAGGAGCTTAGTGCATGTATTCTTTGCAAAACAAAACACTTCAAAGGTTCAAAAAGATCTAACCTGGTCTTGAATGTCTATATAATCGAAGTATCTGGGATTGTTTGTAATTGGAAAGTGAAACTTCTTCTCTATGCACTCCAAAGGTTCAAAAAGATGTAATGTGTTCTTGAGTATTTATATAGTAAATGTATCTGGGATTGTTTAAATTGGAAAGTGAAACTTCTTTTATCTCTTATTTAGAAAAAAAGAAAATTAAATTTCCTTATTTTGATGAAAAACTGTTATAACCTCAACAGAAATCTTCTTGTTGGTTCGAATGAACATAATCTGCATCATGCTCTAATTCAAAAGGAGAAAAGTTGTTGAGAGAATTTATCAAGATTGAGCTATATATTGCACTTTCATATCAGAATTAATGTGTCTTTCCAATTTTCTAGCTTTGGAGATTCTTGAGGTCAAATAACAGTTAATTCTTCTCTATTCTTGTGGCTCAATTCCTGACGTTTGTACCATATGATTTAAAATTGCTACGGTGGCTGCTATTCTCTTGTTCTATGTGTTCTTTGTTGATCGTTCTATACATTTACTGTTTCAGATTCCTGGGATTACTGATATAGGACTGGTACCAAGGAAGATTAACAAGGTTGCTATACTTGGTGGGAGCTTGATGAGTTCTGAAATAGCAACAGTGCTGGTACTTGCAAACTATTATGTAATCATGAAGTATATAGATCAGAATTCTCTGCAGAGTGGCATTGGCAGAGTTAATGGTGAGAAGTAATTGAGTAGTCCCCTTAATTACTCTTAGATTAGTTCAAGGAAGGTTTCACCATTTGAAAAATGTTTGTTTCCTTTCCAGCCAATTTGGAAGGACGTGTTAAGGAAGGAAGAATGACTCAAGAGCATTATAAAAAAGCGTGCACGCTTTTAAAGGGTGTTTTGAGCTATGATAACTTCAAAGATGTGGATCTAGTCATAGAGGTAGGTTGTTGTAGGATTTTTGAAAAGCATTACACTGAATCACTTGATCAATTCAAAGATATTCTAGTCTATCCTTTCTTTCTAAGTTGAAGCTACAGTTTTTGCTAGTGTGCTGCTGCGTAACGAGCATATATGTTATTTTTTTGTATGGATTCGTATTCTTGGAGATAGTAATAATCATCAACCGATCAAAAATTTATCCATATCCATGTAAAAGTTTTAATGACCCAAATCCATGTAAAAGTTCAGGGGCTCTTTGATTTGAAAGAGAAGTTCAAAACTTCTCAAGATAGTTTTTGTTACTAACCAGTAACCGCTTCATAGACAAATTTCCAATGGTAAAATATTGAACTTTTATATGCTGGTATGTAATATAAATGTAAAACAGGAAGTTTCTCAGAAGTACTTTGCATAAATATAAATTAATAAATATTTTAAACTGTATTATTCTCATTGATATGGTAGAGAGTAAAAGGCATGCCAGAGAAGTCTCAGATGAGTAATCTATTGAAGTGTTTAACCATCTCATCTAAAAGCTTAAGCTGTTAGCGAGAAGAGCACACTTTTATTATTTAATTATATTCTCAACGCGCCCCCTCACGTGCGGGCTTGATTTTTTTATGGGCCAAGCACGTGGAAAATCGGGTGTTAACTTTGTATTGAGAAGCAGTCTTTTATCCAGTCCTTTCGGGTGTTAACTTTGTGTTAATCTTTATCTAGTAGTCATGTTAATGTTTTATCATGAAAATGGCCGTTCCAAGAGTATCTATCATGAGTCACGAAAGGCTGAAACAGAAGAGTTGTATAGATACACAAGACTGAGTAGAAAATGGAACCTACATGTTTGTTGCAGATTACTTGTAGAAATGACAATGATACTTATCAGATTGACTCAGATGCAGACTTCTCATTTGTTTCTTCTTCTTGATTAATAGGACATGCCTGACATTGTGTCCTTGAAGCAGCAATTTTTTGCTGATCTTGATGAATGTTGCCCTCATCACTGCATTTTTGCTTCAACTACTTGTATAGTCAACTTAGATTTGATTGGAGAAAGGATGAAACCATGTAGGGAGATTGTTGGGATCCACTTTTTTAGGTAAAGGTGAATCAAGCAAGCGTAGTATATCTGCTGATACATATGAGTTAAGGCTTGCTTGTTACTTGGCTGCAGCTCACCCTCTGTCACTGATCTCCTGGAAATTGTCCGAACAAAGAGGACATCCCCTCAAACGCTTGTTGATCTGTTAAACTTTGGAAGGAGGATTCAAAAGACTCCTATTGTAGTTCAGAATTGTACAGGTTTTGCAGTCAGACATATGTGCTTCCCCTACTTGCAGGCAGCGATGCTTCTTGTTGAACATGGTGCTGATGTGTATCAGATTGATAAGGCGCTTACCAGCTTTGGGTTGAAACTGGGTCCATTTAGGTGCATATTCCATTTAACATCCTATGAATGTGAAATCGATTTGATCGAGTTGTGCTCTTCAATAGAACCCTCAGTTTCTCCATACAGTCGAACTCATAATAAAAGAAATATGAGTTTCCTTATGGTTTAACATAAAGCTACCAAAATGTTCCAGCACTAATGGATGTTGATTCAAAATCTGATCATACAGAAGGAGAAGCTTATTCATTTAAATACTAAATAAAGGTTATATGACACACATTTCTCATGTGGATAATCCACCAATGATGAATGTGATCTTCAGCATTTTTTTTATATCGCTCCACTTGGAGTGCAAGACATCTTCTGTCGTTGCTTCCATTTCTTTTGGTTGATGTTGGCAATGTCAACTGCAGAATGCTTGATCAAGATGGATTCCTGTCTGCAGCTGTGCATGATGTGAAATTCCTTGAGACTTTTCCAGATAGATCTTACAAATCGAATTTGATTCCAATCATGAGGAAAAATAACGGTGAAGGTAATGTGCACTTCCTTCTTGTCATCAGGACCTGAATTGTTTTTGTCATCAGATTTTCTTGAATTTCTCACAAATGGAATGTGTACTAGGTAAATACTCTTGCCAGGGCTTCTACACATACAATGACAAGGAAGAGGCAAGCCCAGATCCCGAAATATCAAAATATATAGAAATGGCGAGAAGTATGTCTGGTATCACCATTAGATCAAAGGTCTTCTCTCTCTCTCTCTCTGTCTCTCAGTTAACTGTCTTTTGGTCCTTCTATTGAAAGTTCTCTAGTAATCTTCCGACTGCACTTATCTTGAAGAAAGTATGAGGCTTATTGCTATGTACTATTTGGCTTTGGGAAAAAATAGAAAACATAAATAATGTTCATGATATAACCATAAAGCGGAACACCAAGATATGGTAATCAACAAGAATATAAAAAGAACGATAATGACACTAAGACTATTTATCGTTCAGTTAATTCTCAAAATGGCATGACTTTTGAGAAGGGAAGTGTCTTTTGATGTTTGTTTTTGTAATCATATACAGGATTCTTAATTTGTACAAAGAAAACAAAAAGAAGAGTAACTAGATAAACTGATCATTCTAATGTAAGAGACGTGCACATCACCGGGCTTATGTCCCCTCTTTATATAGGCAAATAGATTCTTCCTCTAATTGGTCACTTGCAAACAGTTCAACCTGTGTTTATTTGTTGTCTATCCGTTCTTTCATGATTGTAGATTTTGATAAATGATTCAGATTGTTTGAATGCCAAATTGTAGTTGGAATGAATATAATGCATTTACCAATCATTTGAACAAAATAAATTTTTGGAAAGGTCTTTGAATGTTTCCTTTCTATCTATCAATTTATGACTTGGTGCACGTCTGAACAATCAACTTGGTACAGTTGGCAACGTTGTCCGATGGAGAAATTGTTGAGATGATTCTTTTCCCTGTACTGAATGAAGCATGTCGCATGATATCAGAGGCAATTATAGTGAAATCCTCTGATCTTGATGTTGCTTCAGTTTTGGGTATGGGATTCCCTGGATACAGGTATTTTTGCTTAGAAATCATCTTTGCCTTGGCAGTGATTCATACACTTATTGTATATGTTGATGAAAATCAGGGGAGGCATAATTTTTTGGTCTCACTCTGTTGGCTCCAAATATATTTGTTCAAAACTGGAAGAATGGTCGAAGGAGTATGGAGAGTTTTTCAAGCCTTGTGCATACTTAGTCGAACAAGCTTCCAAGAGAAGTTCTTTGGTGAGAAATGTTAATTTTCTTGAATTACTGAAATGTAACAACTCCGAAAAAGTGGATTCATAAACACTTTTTGTTTGACAAATTGCATTGCGTGTTGCTGACAACTGACAACGGGATCAATTTGATACTCTCTCTGTTTCGAATTATTTGTCCTACTTTCCTTTTTTTTACCCATATAAAAAAGAATGCCTATTCCTGTTTGACAATTCTTTAATTTTAACTTTCCACATGACATGCTTAAGACCACAAGATTAGAAGGCATTTTGGTACATTTTTCGTATCTTTAATTTAAGACCACAAGGTACAGAAACCTTCTATACTTTCTTAAACTCCATGCCAAGTCAAAACAGGACAATCAAATTGAAACTGAGGGAGTAATAAATAAGACCTATATGCTAGTTGGTCCTAACTATACAATCAGAAAACTGCATGCGTGTTAGTGGACCAACATCCGTTGATTGCTTTCTTTTAGAGCTAAGTTCGATCACAAAAATGGGTTCCATTTTTTTTTTAATGTCAGTGTTGTGACACATAAATGAAGATTGGTCTTTTGCTAACCGAGGAGTTCCGTATGTCTGCAGGGGGCGCAGGTTAAGCAGGCCAAGTCGCTTTTGTAAGATTGTCATGATGACAACAACATATCATTCTAATACCCAGTTCATATGTCAGATATTTGTGCAATGTTGTAAATACTCATGCTAGTTGGAATTTACCCACACACTGTAGTTGCTTGATCTTTATGTATCATTCACCTAACGGGATCATAGTGACTGAGACTGCAGTTATGTGTTGTATAAAGTCTATGGATAGAGTTGGCTTGAAATGGATAAAGATGAAAAGGAAGATGGTGCTGATCGCTGTATTAAATATACATGTAATTCAGGTGAAGTTTGTGTTTTTACATGTCAATCAACAGTTTTCATTTTTTGGTTTTCTTCTTTGTCGGAGTCAAACAGTATCTGCTTTTAGACGCATACTATTGTGTTTAGTGGCGGAGCCACTCTTGTTCAAGGGGTGTCAATTTATTTTTTAAAGTACAGTATACTATATGTTCATGGAAACATCCTCTCTAGCTTTGAGGTTAGGTGAGTATGTTGCTGTTGTAATATGCTATATGCTCAATCCCATGGACTTCTTTGTGTGTTTACTTCTTTATATTTTGACACCCCCTCATTGAAGAATTCTGACTTCGACCGTGTGTTTTTTGGTCTTAACTCTTAACAAAAGTGAAGTATGGGAGGGGACCAATATAGATTAAATTGACTTGGTAAATTAACAAACGCCATACTTGCACATTCACTTTTAAGCTCAATGATCACTTTCACTATCATCCCCTTTTCCTTGAAATTTCTTCTCTAAATACTGTGAAATCTTGATTGAGTGGTAAAGGCAATAATATTTCTAGATTTGTAACTTGTTTACTATTTGCAGGATTTGTAGTTATCTCCAAAATTTGGTGTTATTTGCAATTTCATCTGCATCTATATAAATCTTCCCATCCCTGTTCTTTCAATAGTTGTTGGCACATCACTTGCTTCATTATTCAAAAACAAAATGATTATTGCTGGTTTTGTAAAGAAGAATAATCGAGGATGAGAAAAGTTGGCTTAATGCAAAAGTCACCTCCATTTTCTGCTGATAGGTCCAGGGTTTAGGTCACATTTTTTGGTTTGTGGTTGATCCCTCAAGGAAGAGTTCAAATCTGTACAGAGACAAAATGTTAAGTATTTTTTTCTATTTGCTTTAAGTTTTCATAGAAAACTTTAGCTACTATATGGAATCTGTGTCTCCTGCTGTTCTCCAGGAAATAGTGGCTCGGCTCACTGTTGTTCAACCGCTTCTCTAGGAGTTGTGTTGCTAAATGATTCATGCTGCAACCATCTCTGAATTTTTAGAATACATTCATACCTTCTCTGGATACATATATCTAGGTAGAAGGAACGATATGAAAAAACCTTGTGGATAAGGGTTTGAAAAAGATGAATTTGAGGTAGATTAAAACCAGTTATTCAATACTCGTGCTGGTGGAAATAGCAGGTACTTGGTGAAATAGATGAACATGACATTGATCGTTATGAAACAACAACAACAACAACAACAACAACATACTCCATATAATTCTACAAGTGGGGTCTGGTGATGGATAGCTGTTTTTCAAAAAAATTATAATTGAGGAAGCTTATGAGTTATGTTAAGTATGTTTTATGTGCTTACTTGTCTTGTCCTTTAGTCATGAATTTCTTACAACAATTGGCATTATTCTAGCAACTTCCTGATTAGAAAGAATTGTTAAATTGGTAGAGAATCAATTTTCATGTGGGCAACTAGCCAAAGCAATTAACACTAACAAGCCATTACTCATGAATTAATCATCTATAAACCATTAACTTTTTTTCCTTTCAAATTCAAGAAATACAAATGTCTTTAGCTACCATTTTCTTGTTCTTTCTCTTCTTTTCTACTGTTGTTTCATCCAATGAGAAGACATCAGCCTATGAAGAGCTTCAACAGTATGACTTCCCAATTGGCATTCTTCCTACAGGGGTGATAGACTATGAGTTGAACTCGAAAACAGGTGAGTTCTCGGCATATCTCAATGGCTCATGTAAGTTCATGTTGAGTTCATATGAACTATCTTATAAACCTGTGATAAAAGGCGTTATATCAAAAGGAAGGCTAATGAAATTGACTGGTGTTACTGTTAAAGTTGTATTTCTATGGGTTAACATCGTTGAGGTTAGGAGAAAAGATGACAATCTCCAATTCTCTGTTGGATTTACTTCTGCAAATTTTCCTATTAAGAGGTTTGACAAATGCCCTAGTTGTGAATGTGGATTGCATTGTGTTAACGAGGGTAATGGGGAGTTAAGGCAAAAGCTCCTCGTGTCTTCCTCGTAGACTACTCTACCAGTGGCGTACACATAATTTTATGCATATAGTACTGTGTGTTGTTCTATTCAAAATTGATGTTGCTTTGAGAAATACCCTCGTTGTAAATGTGGATTGTATTGTGTTTTCGTTGGGCAAAAGCTTCTTGTGTCTTCCTTGTAGAGTTTAATAGTGGCGTATACAGTGTAAGCAGTATCATTTAATGTTATAACTCCTCTAGTCACGGAGATAGTTGTGGGGCTATTAGGCTCGAAAAACGAAATATATTCGTGTTGAAAAATTTCACTTGTAAAAGGTAAAACACAGCATGCCAGAGAGGTTACCCATCTCCATTGGCATATGCACCATATTTCTTTTTAAATTCTGAGAATAAGCAAAGCTTTATATAAATGAGAATGTTTGTATTTTTTGTTTCATAGTATACCTAAATCTAAACGTAACGTGCATCATCTATTTTTCTTCATATTACATACATCATCATATATTATTATAAGCATGAAATTCAAAACTTAAAAGTTGAATTACCATTTTGCCCCTCTAATAAATTAAAACTTATATAATTTATATATAACATTTTGCCCTTTTACTAAATTAAGATTTAATTAAATATAAATATTTTAATTACACAATGATATATATATATATCTATTTAATTTTCATAAGTATTTAAAGTTAGGAAGAAAGTTTAAATTTATTCAGTCAATGACTTTTAATTAGAAAAACAATGATAAGATTCCTAAAATCTTTCTATTACTCCTATTTATTCATGCATCACTTAATTACTGAAATTGAAAGGTTTTTTCAGTTTTAAATTTTGAAGGCACTACTTAACTTACATTAATTACAATGAGTATTGTAAATGAAAGATCACTCTTTTGAACTTTCATATGTTACTTTACTCTTTTTAATTAACTTGAATTATTTTTATCTTTCACATATTATTGAAATGTATAGATATTTAAGACATAGAGAAAGAAAATAACAACAGAAATCAAGAACACTCAAAAGCACAAGAATTCATATTCTAACCCTTTTTTTGAAAATTTTCTTGGTCTTCTCTATTGCATGAAACTATATGATGACACAGTATGGTTCTAATACATTTGAAAATGCTATGCTAACATTTAGATGAACTTACAATAAATCTATTGAAAGAGTAAGTCACGATTTAGATTACAATTTTTTCCTTGTTTTTCCCGTTTTAGTTTTGTTAATTATGATTCTTCCTTATATATTAAATGATTTTTTGTTATATTTAGATAATATGTTGATATATTAATAGAAAAAAAAAAGTAAGGTGGACTACAATTTTGAGATATGTTGTTCATAAAAAAAATTATATTTCTTTGATTAATAGTCACTGTATAAAATTAATTTTATTGTATATGTTCTTTTTGGCTATATATGATACAATCCTAATGCATAAATTTTCTTTCTGATATGGTGTCTTCTCTTCAATCTTTTGGTGTTATATTACACTGTTTGATAAGTTGTCATTGTATTTGTATATTTTTTTTCCATATGAAGGTTGTTTTTGGTTGAAGGGTAAAAAATTATTTAAATAATAAAGTATAAAATTAGATTATCATTTTATTTTGTGTTAAATTAAAATATTATAAAATATTTATTTATAAATAGTAATCATTCTACATGCCACACTAAATATTAAAAATATTGGTTATTATGAGATCATTGAGTTAAATCAATATATAAAGACCATAATCAATGCCCAGATGCCCACTAAAGATTTGCATTGTTATATGATTAAAGTCTTCAAAAGAATGTGTATGTTGTCGCATGTTTTTTTCTTTGTTTATTTTGTATGTGTTTTTTCTCTATAAACTTCTTTAATTTGATTTTCCATAAATTTCTTATTGTTTTAATTGTATTTTTATTTAGGCTAAAGTTAATCTTTTGTGACTATATATAATGCAAATTGACTAATTACTATCTAAAGTTTTAAATTTACAGTTGTTGATAAATTTTATACATTAAAATAAGATTCCCCGTTTGATGTTATTGTGATTAAACTTCTTTAATTTGATTTTCCATAAATTTTTGATTGCTTTAATTGTATTTTTATTTAGGCTAAAGTTAATCTTTTGTTACTATCTAAAGTTCTAAATTTACAGTTTGTTCGATAAATTTTATACATTAAAATAAGAATCCTCACCTGATTGTTTTTGTCATAATTTTATAATTTTATTTGTAATTGTTGAATTTTGTTATTCGTTACATGCATGTACATGTAGAATTCTAATTGTTATAATGAAATATAAAAAAAAATTAACATAGGATACACGTGCAACGCACGTGTGCTGAAACTAGTAAATAAAAATATAAGCAATGCATTTTGTCTTTTTTCTATTAGAACCAATAATGTAAATTTTAATATAATTTACTGGACAAGATAGCAGCTAGCTGTCACTATTTATCTTCAATACATCTTAAGTTATCAATTAGTTAATTATGTCTCAATTCTAATTAATTATAAATAGTTGTGCGTATCCTATTATAACTTTTTTCTTTTATTCAGACTTGCTATTTGATGTGTCTTGATTTAAAGCTAAAATACGATGTTTGGTTCTAACTAATAGTGTCTAGTATTATAATACATCAAAATGTTCGAGTTAATTTTTGCGTATCTTAATTAATTTTATGTAATACTTGCTACCTTTTATAACTGATATTGGATAACTTTGTTTATCAGACTTAGACAAGTGAAGAAAAAATCACTATTAATTATTGTTAGCTTTTGTTAAAATTTAAATTTGAAACTTCATAATTTTTAACTTACTTTACTGATTTTTCTTATTACGCGCTGAATATAAATATAATTTAATTATAGAGTATCAGAAACAACAAATAATATAATTGTCGAATATTTTAGATATTATAATTTAGATTATTTTGGACAAGTTGCGCACGTCATGGTTCAACTATCTATTTTTTTTATTCATATGTTAAATGTTTTTCCAAGTTGTGTTCGATGTATACTTGTGTTCAACGAATCTGTTTTCATCATTAATTCCACTTGTCACTCTCTTATTTACACAAAAAAAACTCACGCCACCAAAGAAAATGAAAGATATACTATCCTCTCAAATCCATTTTAATTTTCGTGCTTATTAGAAATAACTGGTTCAAAATAATTATCATTTTAGAAAGTTAAAATATATTAATTATTAGTTTTCATTTTTATCCTTAATTAATATGGAGAGAAACTAATATGGTAGAAAAGATTTAGATAAAAGTTAATACAATACCTTTTTGGTGAAAAAAATATGATAAATAAATTAAATAGAGAAAATAGTTATGTGATGACACGTCAATTTAGGTCTCCTCTTATTTAACACTTCTCCATAGAAAAGTTATATGAAAATTCTTATCAATATCACAGAGGAAAACAAGTGGTGTTTTCCTGTTTTGACGTAATATCGAAAATTGTAATGAAGTAATAAATATTTATTTTATTTTTTTAATAAAAGTCACAAATTTAAATTTGCTAATAAAGTCGTCTTTGATCAAGAGTGTTCTACTTCACTTAGCGTGACTAACCCAAACTAATTGGATCTGAAGCAGCTTGTAATCATGTTTAATTAGAAATTTCGAGTTTTTGGTTATTTCCGCTGTAAGCTAATATTAAAGTAATTGAATACAGATCCATTGTTTCAACTAATTTAATTTATACACAAGAAGATGATTAGGCAAAAGATTAATTAATTAATAGCCAAGAGTAATCATTATTGAGTGCTATTGATTTCTGGCCGTTCATTCTGACATTGGATTAGTTTATAAGGATTTATAATATAGGCATTAACGACGTAAAATTTTGTTTTACACTATCAATATAATTTAAACTTTATAGAAAGTTACGTGTCTTTGCGTATTGCTAATTTAACATATACTTTTTTAATTATAAGGGAATATAATGGAATAAAAGTGGACTACTTCATATTGTTAACATATAAAAGCTAAACTCATTTAATATAGTGATCTATTCGATTCATCATGTTTAACAAAATATGGATATTTTTTTTTTGTTTATTATCAGACAATCACTTATTCACACATTAAAAAAGTCTTTTTTCTCCCGATTATTTTTAAGGTGTTTTAGTATTAGATTCAATAGAATCTGAACGATCATTTTTATCAAATAATGAAGGGATTTATGTATTATTTTTTATAACACGTCTGTCCAAATTCAAGAAAGTGATAGGTGCATCCATAATTTATGTAATTGGACTATTTCAACTAATTTATGCATAAGAATAATTCAATGTTGTGACATGTCCTTGTTACCATCTGTTATAATCTAGATGTGACATAATTTTCAATAAAAATGAATTGGAAAATCGAGGTAGATGCACGTAGGACGAAACAATGTTACGTGACATACTATTCATCTTAACTTTTTTTTTTTAAAAAAAATTAATCGAAAAGTGAAAACCTAATATGTAATAGATGTCCAACGTATTCAACTAAATTCAATATTTTCCTTATGCGGAAAACAAACATAATATATGAGAAATTACAGTATTTTCACTATAAACTTCAACATTCAATTCCTGAATTCGTCTCTACTCATCGAAATGTGATTCTTGATCCTCTAATTATTTTTTTTAGAATTAATCGAAAAGTGAAAATCTAATATGTAATGCATGTTCAACGTATTCAGTTGAATTCAAACATTTTTCTTATGCAGAAAACAAACATAATATGTGAAAAATTACAATATTTTCACTATTGAACTCCAATATTTCAATCCTGAATTCATCTACTCATCAAAATGTAATTCTTGATCTTCTAATTGTTTTTTTTTAGAATTAATCAAAAAGTGAAAATCTAATATGTAATACATGTCCAACGTATTCAACTGAATTCAACATTTTCCTTATGCGAAAAACAAACATAATATGTGAGAAATTACAATATTTCTACTATTGAACTTCAATATCCAAATCCTAATTCGTCTCTACTCATCGAAACGTGATTCTTGATCCTCTAATTTGTTCTTTTTTTTTTTTCAATTTTGTCTAGGTTTGTACTTCAACAACATGTTTCTAAGTTCAGCAGCATCAATTTCCTTAGCATGAGTTTCTGGTCTGTAATAACCAGTAACAGGATCTGGTACCCATGAAGTCTTGTTTGATTCCATCACATTGCTTCTAACACTCCCACTACCTCTTACACTACCAGAAACACCACCCTGTGCTGCCGTGGCCGCGTATCCACGCCTATATTATTAGAGACAAATTCAAAATTTAAATAAAATAACGTAAACACTAACGACAATGATATAAATTATCCCAAAAGTATATAATAAAAGGTAAAATTAACATATTTTGAAAAGAAAAAGGAAAAACAGAACCAACAATCATACAACTCTGTTTTTTATTTCTTTACTCGCTAACAATTTAACTTTAAAATATTAATTTTATTTTAAATTAAAAGATTTACAGCTACACAAATTTCTATTGTTCATTTTATTTTAACTCAGATAAACCCGTTTTTAAACTCGGAAATTGGGAAAAAAAGAATGATATTTTTGTTTACCTCTGGATAGCTACAGAAACAGAGTCTACAACAAAAGCAGAGATATTTTTGCAGTTGGATAAATAACGAGCCATTGTAATTGATATTGCTGAGAATAGAAGAAGATCAATCAATCAAAATTGAATTGAAGTTGCAGCGGAAGAAATCGAAATTTTAATTACTTCCGCAGCAACAAATTTGAAATTTTTTTTAAAATCTGAAGGAAAATGTTAGATATGTAAAAAATAGTGTGAGGAAGAGAGGTATTTATAGAGAAAATTTGGAAGAAGAAGAAGTCAAATTTAGCAGTTATTATTGGACTTTGTGGAATGGAGACGCGTTAATGACGGCTTCTAAGAAGGTGAAAAGGTCTTTCGTTGCCACTAAGGGCCATCTTAATCGGAATCGGATACAGAATTTAAATTTTATGATTCGTTTTGTATATTGATATGGATAATAATGTCAAACTAAAAATCAGGATTTACTTTATAATTTGAGGTGAGATATTAGGTAATGTTAAAGATTATTTTATCTCATAATTTATATTAAAATTAGTGTCTCGCGTAGAAAATGAGATAAAATAAAGAAAAATAGTCAGAATTATCTCTCAACCTTGTTTTATTGGTTGATTTTATTCTGTCCGTTAAAAGCAAGTTATTTTTATTACTACCGTCAATAAACTTAACAAATATACCCCTCCTTAGATGGAAAATTTCAAATCAATTCAAACTATCCTATTTTACTTGAATTGAAACGGGTAAGTATCGGTTTCTAAGAAGGATGAAAGGTCTTTCTTCCAAATATTTTAAGAAAAATGATAAATATACTCTAAACTATCGTGTATTGTGTTATGTAGGACTCACGTGTTTATTTATTTAAAAGTGGGATAATTAAAGTGTCTCTTTGAGCATTATGAAAGTTGGAGGTCAAAGTTAAAATTTGAAGCCAAATTTAGAGTCCAATATACGTATTATGCCTTTTATTAAATATTGAATCGATGAATAAAATTGTATCATGTATCCTACTTAGTCTTACATATTCTAATTTTTAAATAACAGAGAAATTAATATTTTAAAAATGCGACAAAAAATATTTACATATTATTTATAATAATTCGAATGTATATTTATTTTTTCGGAGTATTTTATAGTTATGTAAATATACATCTAACATAGTGCCGGCGTTTGCTTACTTTTCAAAATTCTCGAAGCAAATTGCAACTTGTCTACTTCTTAGTCAATACTTTTCTCATTTCTTTTGACTAATAATCTAATATATTTTTCGTATCGAAAAGGTAAATTACTCTCTAAAGGTGATTCAATAAAGAGATTTAAATTTAAAAAATTTGATTATTTCACGATAAAATCTTTGAGATGCATCATTATAAAAAAAAATAACAGTTAATTAATATTTTCTTAATCAAACACATCATGTACGTATAATTAGTTTCAATACTATTAGCTAAATAATAACTGTTTATTTATATAATTTTTACACTTCATAACTTACTATCAGCTATCCACAACCAATTAATGAACCAGGATTCTACATTTTATTTTAATTAAGGGAAAAAAAGGGTTGCAATTAATTAAATTATTTGACCCTTTGCTGTGCAAACAGCCAACACATTAAGTTAAATGTTCCTTTCTTGTTTCAAAAGTTTAATTAATCTCAAATTAAGATTAGTCAAATTAGACATTATCATTTTTTCCTTATAATATAATTTTTTGATACATGGTGGGTAGTTGACCCAAAAAAGTAAACTGAATTCCTAAACTTATTACAAGTTTTTATCCGGCATCTATCTGATATGTATATTAGGATTTGATTAAATTTAAATTGCATTAAAAATTGTCTCGCATTGGAAGACAAAACACTTTCCAACAAACATTTTGATTAAGAATAAATGAGTACTTATCACTTGATCACAAATAGTAATTCTGTCTCAGTTTATGTGTTCGCTTTCGAAACTGTCTTTTTTGTCCTTGAGCGAATCAGCTCTTAGTAGGGCTGAGCATAAACACCGGAAAACCAAAACACCGTACCGAACCGAATTTTTTTGGTATTTCGGTTTTGGTTTTTCGTTTTCGATTCGGTGTAGGTTTTTGTATTTTTCGGTATTTCGATTCGATTTTTGGTATGTAATTTTGTGTTAATCGGTATTTCGGTTTACCGAAATATATTATATTATAATATATATTTATATTATATTAATTATTAATGTTAAATAATAAATATTATAATTTAAATAAAAAATTAAAAAGTAAAAGACACTTTTTGATGTAACTATTTTTAGCCCATTAAGCTGGAAAATCAAACAAAAAAATTTGTAAATTTTTAAAAGCCCAACTAAGCAGGTCCATTAAAAAAATCGAAATAAAAAAATTGAACCGAAATAATAAAAATCGAATCGAACCGAATTTTTTGGTTCGGTGTTCGGTACACATTGTACAAGAACCAAAAATCAAAAAAACCGAAAAAAACTGAAACCGAACCGAATTACCGAATGCCCACCCCTAGCTCTTAGGACAAAGTTCGGAATCGTAGAAGGAAGACAAGGCTCTATCCCTTGCATGGCCAGTGAAGAAGGCATCTCGGAAGAGGAAAGTAAATTGAACTGAAACGAATAGTGGCGTTGCAATTCCTAATTAATATATTATAACGAGCTATTACATAAACTATCAAATATTTTAAATTATAAAAAACAGCTGGAGAACTTAACAAAGAGGTATAAGCCTTCTGGCCATATATAATGTTCATAGACATTATAGTTGATGATATTAATAAAACTTTTTTATAATGGTAAGGTCAGATGACTTAATTTTCACAATTTAATTAGAAGTATAGAGTACATTAGTGGCAAGATACCAATGATTAAAGTTAATTACTAAAGAAGTTTTTTAAGAAAAAATATATTCCTAAACTAATAATGCAAAGGTTATATATAATAATACAAGAATTGTTTATGCAGAAATTAATCATCAAAGAATTTGTATTTTTATTTTGATCTTAAATTCGATGTTCGATATTTATTTTAAAGTTTGACTAAATCCAAATTTATGCTAAAAAAATAAATATTCGATTATTTAATAAAGGCAATTTTTATTTACATCCATCATTACAATATAACACTAACAAGTACTATGGATCCCAAGCAAGTTGAAGTTGATCCATATAAAACTTTATTGTCCACATCGCCTTTATTTAAGCCCGTCTCGACCCAATATACGTCGATCAATACAATAAATTTAAAAAATTTACACTTTACCAAAATTCATAATTGAGTGCATGCATGCATGCATACAACTTGCAAGAGTGTAAGGCTACATTACATCGATCATTACAATACAACAATAACTACTATAGAAATCGACCATATAAATCTTCAATGTTGATATCGCTCCATTTAAGCCCATCTCAGTCCAATATCCATAAATCAATATAATACAACAATAACAACTACTATCAATCCCAAGCAAATCAGAATCGACCATAGATTGTTGTTTAAACCCATCTCAGACCAATATCCATCGATAGATACGATGAGTAAAAAAATTACCCCTTTCTAGGAATGATTTGGACTAAGATTGTTATATAATACCAGAAACTCTGAGAGAAGATAGCACAACAAATATAAGCCATAACAACATGAAGAATATGCAAGTTACCCATGCCCAAACTCTTGGCCCGCCAAGCTCAGCACCGATAGTGAGTCGTCTAAACACCAAAACACCGATGCAGGCTACAGAAGTAGAGAAGAAAACAAGCAGAGAGAAACTTAGTCCTTCTGCATTTTCTATTCGCAATGGCTCGTTGTATGCAATGTAGTTGTACAATGTATCGATTAGCCATGGTACGCCAATGCCTATATAGATGTTCACCGAATTGCTACAAGGACAAAAACACTAAGTCAGACACCAGGATATCTTGCTCCAAGGAATGACAATGTCAAATTCACATTTCCTAAAGAGGTTAACAAATTAAGTTAATAAAAACATGCACCTTATGTGAATTTTTACTAGCTAGGCATTGGCTAACTGCTGTATTAAGGGGTTGTTTGGTTCATCTACATACTGCAAATAAGGGAAAAAATAAAATTGATGAACTTCTATACCACCTAAATTGCTATTCCGTGAGACTTGGAGAAGGGGACAATGAAAATTGGAAAACGACGAAAGCAATTTGCCAATCTCTATGGACCTGGCATGACTTCTATCAATGTATAATAATATGTAATAGGTTAAGGGCATTGTTGACTGATAAAGAAACCTGCAGGTAATGTTAGCAATGGCAGAGTCAGCTGTAAGTTGTCGTTCTGCAGCAATTTTGCTGGCCACGAGATCAGGCCATGAGGTTCCACTTGCCAAAGCTGTGAATGCAATGACGTAAGGATTTATTCCTGCAGGTACATTGTGTACAATGTATACTCTTAGGTCGAGCAAGAACATTTATGATCATTGAAAAAACACTTGATAGTCTGAAGGGTGAAAACCTGTAACACAGCTTATCAAATCTGTGATTTTTGTCACTACATAAGCAATTCCACTGATGAATATCAAAGAACATATGAAAGCAATCCACCCATGGGCAATCTGATACGGTGGCACAAACGCAAAAAGAAGCTTCCACGGTAGAAGAAGCAACTGCCAGAAAATTCTTGCTACACGTAGGTATGTATTATTCAATTTTCTGGATTCTGTACTCTCCAACTGAAAAGATTAACAAAAAAACCCCATTAATCCATCAAGTAAAAGGTGTGGAACGGGATAGGATTGTTACTGTAACTCGTAAGAGTAACGGTCTGAATTAGAGTCAAATTATTTTGAATAAACTATCAAATGAACAACATTATAGTAGTGCTAACTGTTGAGCTTTATATATCCACCCCATTTTCATGTCTACTTAAGTTCATGAACATTGGGTAGTAACTGAACACAGCATCACTGGAAAGTCAATTTAAGTCGGTGTTGTCAAAGACAAGCTTTAGCTCTGAAGTGAGGTGCAAAACGCCTCACTTAATGTGCACTTTAGTGTTGTCATCAAGACTCTAATTAAGACATACTTTTTCTTGCCAACGAGTGTTTCCTATGGAGGAGACAGTATACAATTGATATTTTCTTTATCATAATAATTTTTTTCAATTCTTTTGTCGATACATTTGTTATTCATGCTTATTATCATTAGCCTTGGATTATATATATATATATATATATATATATATATATATATATATATATTGTACCTTTTAGCTTCATTAA